ACCCCTTTTCGCCCGGGCGCCCTTTTTCCCCCCCCCCCCCCCCCCGCAGCCATGTGAGGCACTTTTTATTATGGGTGGATGCATTATGGACTGATGAACTGCAACACCAGCTGACTGCCATTAAACAGATTGGAAGATCAAAGTCAATTTTTTAAATTTTAACTCATTCATCTGAAAGAAGGAAGTTATATACGCCTAGGATGGCTTGAGGGTGAGTAAATAATGGGCTAATTTTCATTTTTGGGTGAACTATCCCTTTAACTTTTATAAAGAATATCTCTTTGGATTTGAGACTTTAGTCTTTGCAACTTCAGGGATCTTATCTATGCACGAACAGCTTGTAACACTCCAAAGAGAAAGGAAAACTTGAAATGGCATCATATGACCCCTTTAAAAAGCTAATTTTTTTTGTTTTTTCTACTGAGAAGCAATTGCTGGTAAATTTGTGATTTGTGTGTTAAAGCTATTTCCGGAAGTAATATAAATTCATTATTGACCATTAAAGCACATTCAAATGACAGAAATTGCATAATTTACTTATTTTAATTTTAATATAACTTAATATAATTGTTTTAGTTAATTATTTTAATATATTGCTCCTAGCTTCTGAAAACAAGAAGTACCAGAAATATCTTACTCAACATGGGGGGGCCTTTGAATATTGTCTAGGATAATAGGGGGCCTTAAAGTCAAAAAGCTTGAGAACCACTACACTACTCTATTATGTTCAGATGTGTTCTTTAATGACCCCATAACGCACCTTGACCTTGTCAGCCATGACCTCACACACTTGTGCCCGGAGGATCTCCTCCTCTTCCTCAGCACGTACAGCAGTCAGCTGACCTGGTAATGGTGAGTTCAGAGCCACCTTGTTGATATCTTGCCCATAGAACTCTCTCATTTCATCTTCTAACTTTTCCTGCACCTTGGAGTAACCTTCACCTATGTACCTGCATATAAACAGACACACACCCTTCATCAAGAGTACAAGAGTGGCCATCAACTTAGTAGCCTGACATATTTTTTCTCCACCGGCATTTCCAAAAATTCTTCAAACAAAGAATTATATTCTCTGATCCAATCCAACCTGCCCTGTGATGAATCGAAACATTACAACCCTTTTGATTTGTAAAAGTATTTTTGCACCAGACTGTTGCACTCTGTTTACTGATTCGATATAAAGTTAACAGATTCTAAGTAAAGGCATGATAAGGGCCACACCCCTCATGATCCATAGGATACTGATTATAAATCGCACCTCAGAATGACGCTGTTTGCATCACTTGCTTCCACCACCAGGACAGAAGGGTATTCCTCTCTAGGAATGACAAGAGGAGGAACCATCTGGCTGCTCAAACGGCGCTCTACTGTTTCTTTCGTCTCTGAGCCAGCCAATCCTGACTGGTTACGGTTCTCATCCTCTACTACTTTTGCATACAGAATTGCTCTTTTGGGGTTGTCCGGCATGGGGTAGTCAATCGTGCAAATGTCTGAAAGCAAAGTGAGGTGGTCCAGCACAAATTCCGGTAGTTTACATTTATATGTGTCCTGATACAGTTTAGGCAGAGCGTGGGCCCACAGGCCACTGCTGTATTTCAAGAGCAGCTCTCCAAGCTTCTGCTTGACGTCAGGTGGTAGATCCTTAGGGGACGCCGGAGTGCTTGATTTGGAAGTAGCAAATGATCTTTGAGTCTGAGGTTTTTTGTGATGAAATGGGGATTTGTCATGGGTGGGGGGTGTAGCAGCACTATGTGGGGTAATCTGGCTAGTTTCTTTAGCAGGGTACAGCAGCATCTCTTGAGGTTTGCTACTGCATGGTTTTTCAACCTGTAAACCAAGCAACAAGACAGCATTTTTATTCTGCAGACAAATACACAGAGCTAATTTATTATAATTATTTAAGCACACTTGAGTTTGAGGTCTCAACAGAACAAAAGGGACATTTCCCAATCAGTATGCATTTATCAACCACTTTACCGGAGTGGATACCCCTAAACCTAACCCCAAATGGTTAGAGCTAATCAGGTACAGTAGTTGAAAAACACCCACAGCCTGGGAAACACCCTTAATTGATTGAACAATGCCCCCTAGGGTACTGCAGAAACCTATACTTGGGCAGACTTCTGGCTGCAGTCTGGTGGCACAGTGACTGTGAACTACAATAGCCACATGCATGTGATCAAACCCCCAAAAATACAACACCGAGATGTTCGAGATATTCAAATCAGTTTAACATCTTCAGTGTCTTGGCATAATGTTGACCAAGTTTGGTGAGAATCACATGAATTGTCTCCAATTCTCTCTCCAACCCTTAGAATTAAACTGGCAATAATACAGAGCAGTAGGTGCTACACACAGCCAGGAACATCAAAAGAACAAGGTAAATATGTGTTATGTTAATGGGTTTGGATTTCAGACTTCAAGATGGTCTTATATTGTCAATAAATTGTCTTTTTGAACTAGGGAGGACATTGTAAGTTATGAAAAATTACAAATTGTTTTCATAAATTGATTCTCATATCTTGATCCCCGCAATGACACAATTTCACATAATGCTAATTACTGTGTTCTAATGACATCAGATGACAGGTATCTATAAACTTACTGTACAAATGTGCGTCCAGTGTTCCAGGTCTTTCAGGGCTTCATTGGGTAGATCTTGTTTATAATGCTCTCGATACAGCTGAGGCAGCTTGGATACCCAGAGGCCATTGCTGTGCTTGTTAAGAACCTCTTTAAGACGGGACTGCACCAGCTTGGGACTGTAAGGTGCAGAATGAGGCAGCTTGGGTTTTGCTGGAGTTGTGTTTTCATTCAGGTTAGAAGGGGCTAGAAATATCAACAACATAAATGCTGCAGCTTATTAGCAATACTGCAATGACAAACTATAAATTAAAACCATAAAATCATAAACAGATGCTGAATAAATTTGCAATGAATCACAGACTCTATCAAGTCTTATGACAATTTTGTCATTATTTTATCACCCTCAGATCTTTCGAAGCGAATATGACTTTCTATTGATGACATTTTTTCCCCTATTCTGGGTGAACTATCACTTTAAGATATAGCCCATAGCAACATTAGAATTGAAGGCATGCAGTCCTGAGCGATCCCGCTGCTTTTTGCCTGCTTTAGACAGAAGATGACTGTTCTCTTTTCATCCTAAATGAACATCCCATGCCTGGAATGTTTTCTGAGACAGGAAGTTAAGTAACAGAGTCCATGATAACTAATACCTTTAAAGGAGTTTCTTGGGGAGAGAAATGATTAGACAGTCTGCATATTTAACACTTATCCACCCAAAATTTGCTCACCATTGCTCTGCTGTTGGTTTTGGGAGAGGTGGGCATGGACTTCTTTTTGGAATCTGGAGGGAAGGGTCATTCTTTTCTCTGATCTAGAAAAAAAAAACATGAGATTATATTAAGGAGACCTTAAAATCTGTCATTTCTTAGATAATATACTGCAAGATTTTAATTGATTTTAATTTAATTTAACGCAAAAATGTCATTTGTTGATGGAGTGTATCCAGTATTATAAAACAGCCAGTCAACACTCTTTACAATGAACCAGATTTAGATCTCTTTAGGTGGACCAAAAGCAACCAGTTCTCATTTTGGTCCAGAAGAAGGGACCTCAGTCCACATTTTTTTGTATCTAGCCACTAAAAAAAAAAAAAAAAAAAATTCAGCCAATTTTTTTTTTTTTTTTTTTACAAATTTACTAAATACTTCATTATTGCTGGGTTATCCTCCTAATCTGTGTAATTAACTGTTCAGCCTATTTCTGCTGCAAAATAGCCTAGTACAGTTTTCATAAACTAAGCAACCAGGAGGGATATAGAGCAAATAATACAATGGTGATTGTAAGGACAAAAGCAGACATTTTGGCAAAGTGCTGCAAAATGATAAAGCAGGGGTATAGAGGTATTTTTGCATATGATTCTAGGTGTCAAATGACCCAAACTCCCCCTCAACCTGTAGCGAAGGGAAAGTGCTGATTCATTGTGGACTGGTTTAGAATGGCTAATCTGTGAGAGAATGGAGGGAGGATTAACAAAACCCAGTACACCCGCTTAACTCTGCCACCCTCTGCACCCTCACAGCCATTGTGTGAGTGCCACAGTAAGTGATAAAGAACACAGTTCTAAAGAGTGAGGTCAGTTGTTTGCTCTCAATAGTTTTTGTCTGGAGTGATTTCACACACACACACAGACAGCACCCTCCATTCGACTGCTGAATAAGCACTGGGTTCAGACAACCCTCAGCTGAAATGCTTTCTGTTATTGCCAATCAACTCTGACAGTATCAACAGCTAGAGACATGCAGTTGCAAAACTGGAAAACTATGAGTCTGTGAAGAATAAAGAGCTTGTTTCTGTTCACACATTAAGACTTGATTTGTATTCTCAGCTGCTTGCTCGGCAAAATGCTGCTCACACAATGGGTGTGCTTACTTTAAAAGATCAGTCGTAAGAAGACTGTACATGAATGTATCTTCTTTTTATCTTTCAATATATGATTTACCCTTGTCTTTCAAAGTACTTTAAATTATTTATTTGTAGCTTTCTTAATGTGGCTATAATGCAAAGTTTTACCTATTTTTATTGTAATTTATCATTGTTTGAGACTCCATTTGACAGGCTTTGTGCTTTTGAGTCTTTCACCTTTCTGAGGGAAGGGAGGGTCTTCTTGTGGGTGTGTTTGGGGGTGTGATGTGGGGTCTGCCGCCTTTCCCATCAGGCTGGGAGTCCCTCATGCTTCCTGTGCGAGAAACGGGGTCTCCATGTCCCCCTCCACGACCTCCACCTCGCCACAGACGTCCACGATGGTCGGGCTGTCTCAAAGATGTCCTTGGCCTTGCTATGAAAGAGATGAGACAATATCTAAATCAAAAAGTAAAATATTTAATCTAATAAATACATGTATATTAGACTGAAAATAGCACAGAGAAAGAGACAGAATTTGAAGCGTTTGAGTGTCCTGTGCTGTGACCCATTTACAGTGTTTTGTAAAGACAGGAATTTCCTTGAACAACAATTTCTATTAACATTAAAGCACACTTCCTCACATAGACACTATTATTGCAGAATTACACTGTGTCTTCAAGACAATAAAGGATGCAAACCCATCATAAAAGTATCATAGAATTGGTCCATACGACTCATGCACGACATTCCATGTGTTGTTAACTGCTGTGATTGGATCACTGATCAATGAGTCAGTGAGAGGAACCCGAGACAATGTCAGTCTGACTCGTGCTGTTTTTTTCAACCAGATCAACGGACTAACTGAAAAACAAAAATCCAACTCAAAAGAACAATTTGTTCACAAATCAGATATCACTGCTTCTCTCATGAAAACATCAAAGAGAGCTATGTTAAATGAATGCCAATATTTTTAGGGAAATGTGGCTTAGATATCTGTCTGTTCTTCACACAAAACTGTCATAGAGCATCAGAAGACTTGGAATATTGAGCACGAGTAATATGGACTGCTTTTATGGGTAATATACTGCTTTTGCTCATTTTGTGCTCAATTTCTCCTTTGTATTCCATGGAAGAAAGACAATCATACATGTTGTGAACAACATGAGGGAAAGTAAACAAGTTTTTGGGGTGGGCTATCTCTTTAACAAATCATCACAGAAACTATAAAAATGCCAGTTCGTTGCGTGTAATCCTTTAATCAAACAGATGAAGCAAAACACTGTAAGCTAGATCAAACATATATCATCATCGCACACAAGTCAGCTTACTTTACAGACAATCTATAAGGTATTACTCTGCACATTATCCAACAAGAGAACCACGAAGCTTCTGGAACTCAGCATGATCACTAGAAATTAGAACATGCAGCAAAAATATAATTTTTTACACATCCAGATAACAAAGCATATGAAATGCAACAGCAGCTGCGAACTTGTCTTAAAGGGGTCATATGATGTTGCTAAAAAAGAACATTATTTTGTGTATTTGGTGTAATGAAATGTGTTTATGTGGTTTAAGGTTCAAAATACGCATTATTTTCCACATACTGTACATTATTGTTTCTCCTCTATGCCCCGTCTTTCTGAAACGCGTCGATTTTTACAAAGCTCATCGGTCTGAAAAGCGAGGTGTGCTCTGATTGGCCAGCTATCCAGTGCGTTGTGATTAACCGAATATCTCAAGCGTGTGATGGAAATGTTACACCCCTTACCATACTGTGATGCCGTGTCCCGGTGCGATGAGACAAAACCAATAAAACCCATTATAAACGAGGCATTTGTAGCATCCAGTGGGGACATAATTACTGATTATAATGACTTATACTGTCTTTTTACACGTTGCGTTGCATTGCGCTGCATAAACATAAAACCATGTCTGCATTTGTGATCGGAGAAATGACAAACAACAAGCGCTACTCTACACTGCTCAAAACTCGTGTTTGAATCATCAGTGGCAAATTCTTTAAATATGAAAACGTACTTACAGGCTGTGAGTCAGCATTATTTGTCAGCATCATTTTGTCGACTGTATAGGGTCAGCATGCGTGCCGAAGGGGAAACAGGGGAACTGAATTCACCAGAACACCGGCATTGTAGGCTACTCTCCGAGGAAACAGTCCTCGTCCTCCGTAAAATGCGCTGCACACATCTGAAGAATGTTCTGGAACAGTGTTGTAAATACAACTTAATCACTGATTTCTAGTTGTGTCCTCTTTTGGAAGACCAAACAAAGTAGTTTCCACGATATGACGGCGGCGGTAACAATACTACAGCGAGAATCAAAGTTATGCCTTCTTTCTTTGTGTATACATTTGGCCGGTGTTATGCAAATCTTCCCACACAGTGACGTAGACATGTGGGGGCATGTTTAAAAGAGGCGTTTTAGGAGGGTGTGGATGAGAAAATCTCTTTGGGTTTGAGACTTTAGTCTTTGCAACTTTAGGGATCTTATCTATTCACGAACAGCTTGTAACACTCCAAAGAGAAAGGAAAACTTGAAATCGCATCATATGACCCCTTTAAAGGAGACAAAGATTTATGTTTACGCGGCACGATGCAACGCGTAAAAAGACAGTACAAGTCATTATAATCAGTAATTATTTCCCCACTGGATGCTATAAATGCCTCGTTTCTAATGGGTTTTATTGGTTTTGTCTCATCGCTCCGGGACATGGCATCACAGTATGGTAGGGGCGTAACATTTGCGCCACACACGTGAGGTATTCGGCCAATCACAACACACTGGATAGGTGGCCAATCAGAGCACACCTCGCTTTTCAGACCGATGAGCTTTGTAAAAATCGACGCGTTTCAGAAAGGCGGGGCATAGAGGAGAAAAAATAATGTACAGTATGTGGAAAATAATGTGTTTTTGAACCTTAAACCGCATAAACACATTTCATTACACCAAATACACAAAATAATGTTCTTTTTAGCAGCATCATATGACCCCTTTAAGTAAATAACCATTACAATGAACAACTATTAGCTAACATGAATAATATTACAATAAATAACAATTACACACTGTGTCAACAAGACTTTGACTTAAAACCCATCTTCTCTCATGCACATTCAGTATGACATCATATCACTAACCTGACTAAAACCTAATGACATCATACCTTTCAACCCGGCAGTATACTCAGCCAGCTGCTTCCTAACAGCGCAATCCGTCCAATCAGCCTAGCGTGGAAAAGTGGCAGCAATTTAACACCTTTATCACTGTCTACAGCCCTCCTGAGATAAGCGTTCCATAGACCGATAGTTTGTGCAAGACAGAGGATGGTGAGCTAAGAAGACAAAAACGCAGCAGCGGCAGTTGAGGCATTAAATAGCAGATGAGGGGGAAAAAAAGAAACTTTTCAGACAATCCTCCCCTGAACAGCCACACATGCTCTGCTGTACATCTCCACAGCACTGCAGTCTCCAGACCTCCCTCTCTCTCCCCGTCTAGGTCAATACAGATTCCCGCTTTCTGCTGTATCAAGTACTGAGTCACTGATCAAGTGACAGCATGAGCCCTGAAAATGCTAAAGCTGACAGTGAGTTTGCAGTTCCCAGAACAGCTGCAACCTGTAATCTGAATGATCTAATGCAGAGCTTTATTATTAGTACATTCAGAACTGTGCTCACATCCTCAGAGGCCATATGCACAACCAAAAAAGACACGGGATGCACAGGACACTAGCATACATCCTCTTTAAAATGTCTTCTGGATAACACATTTCAAGAAGTGTTGCATTCACAGTCGCATTTAACAAATCTGTAAACTGAAAAAAAAAACATACCTTAATGTCATTTCTATTGAAGCTTGTATGCCATATTTACAGTAAATGTATTTGTAATTACACATTTTATAAGGATTAGGTTGCAATTTAGTAAAATTTGAAATATATGAACTTTAAATGTAATATTAAATAACGCTACAGTATTTCAATCAACACATGAAAATACTGTAAGTGTACTTCTTTTAAGCATGGCAAAAGATTATCAATGATGATTTCAAATGTACTTTAAAGTAAAACTTTTACTATACAACCTCTATACAATGTCTTCAATGTCAATGTCATGAGTTACACTCACAGTCATATTTACCCAAACTAATGAAGAGTCTCACCGTTCAGTACAAGAGGAGCTGCAGGTTTGACTCTCATTTGACAGTTTACCACTTGAGGTCGGCCGGTCCTCTTCGCTGTGCACTGGCGGGCCGCAAGCTTAGTAATGTGGGTCATCTCGTTTCCTGTGGTAGCGTGGCACATCACCTATGGGTTTTTAACCATTTAAAGTTTTAGTCAATTGGTGGCTGACTAAATACTTTTTTGCCCCACTGTACCTGCTAAATTACTGAATTTCAAAACGTAAGAGAGAGAGACTTACCTCCCCAGACTGCCCTTTATCCAGTTTCACGACTGAAGGCATGCTGTGCAGGAGGGCATCCAGTGTGGCATACCCCAACTGTTTATAAGGTATGAGCTCACCTGTCAGGTCTTTATACTCTACCTGCAGGTTAGACAGTGACACGCCACTCTTGCTGGACTGCAGCACCGCCCTTACCATCTTCTTCACCAGTTCCTCATCCGCCATCTGAAAAACAACAAGAAGTAATGGTGTTGGATCTGGTCTGGAGACACTATTGTTCAAAAGTTTGGGTTGGTAAGATTTGTAATTCTTTTTTAAAGAAGAATTTTTTTTATGTTCAACAAGGCTGCATTTATTTGATTAAAATATAATAAAAACAGTGATATTATGACAATTTAAAATAACTGTTTTCTATTTTAATATATTTTGCATTGTATTGTATTGTATTATTGTATATGTATTTTATTTCTGTGATGGCAAAGCAGCCATTACTCCAGTCTTCAGTGTCACATGATCCTTTAGAAATCATTCTAATATGCTGATTTGGTGCTCAAGTAATATTTCTTCTCATTATCTATTGAAAACATTTGTGCTGCTTAATATTTTTGTGAACACCAACCAGTACACTTTTTTGAAAGTTCAAAAGAACAGCTTTTGAAATTGTTCATACCAATTTAAAAGTCTTTACTGTGAATTTAATCCACTCTGTCCGCACGAAAAGTATTAATTTCTTCTGTAAAAATCAATTTTACTGACCCCAAATTTTTGAATGGCAGTGTACCTTTACACTTGATACCAATAAAACTATTGTGCACCAACAGATCATTGTAAAGCCACATTGGAAGAATAAATGAGGCTAGGTGGTCAGAGGTCACACTTGACTGTTAATGGGTTTATGAGTCCTACACTGATCTCCTCTATGTTGAAGAGTGTTATTGATTACAACACATAGAAAGCTACTGGACATCATGACCATATCTGATAGCTCACAAACAGTTAAATGTGTTTAGAATAGATCTCATCAAGTCTTGTTTATCCAAACTAACCAATGCCAAGTAAGAGTATGCAACTGCCGTACTACTGGCATTTCATGTCATCTTATTCTAGGTATGGGCATAGTGGTATTGCTGATGTGACTAATGAATTGAGCAAAGCACACTATCCGGTCACAACCAGACAGTTAAAGCTGCACAAATGGATCATGACATAACACATTGTTTATTCTTTTTATGGCCAGTAAAAATGGCTTATGTTCAAGAAAGCAAGAGCCAACACCAGTTTCAAACACTTAACTGCATATAAACTGCATAATTATACTAAATACAATTAGCCGAACTTTAGAGTGCTTTTTTGGCCCACTTGAGCAGGATTTACAGTAAGTAGGCTAAAGCTTTATATGTAATTTCATAATTACTTCTATTGTCTTTAAAATATGGTTAAAGTCTTCAGCTGAAGTCTTCTGTACTTACAAGAATTTGTGTTAAATATACTTTAAAGTCATTTTTATTGAAACTTGTATGTTTTTAAATATATTTGTAATGATTAAATTGCAATTTAGTACATTTAAAATAAGTTAACTTTGGAATATTAACACAATACAGTGCAAACTATTATCAAGTACATTACATGCGCTTTAGTACTGCATGTTAGTCAACACATTAAAAGAAGTGTACGGGTAACAACACGAACGAACAATGAACAATACATTTATTACAATATTTGTTAATGTTAGTTAATGAAAATACAGTTGCTCATTGTTAGTTCAAGTTAATTCACAGTGCATTAACTAATGTTAACAAACACAACTTTTTATTTTAACAATGCACTATTAAGCATCCATTTTGACAAGTGCATTTTTTAAAAGTGTACTTAAGTGCCTTTAGAAACATAGTCATGAAAGTAACTTTAAGTATAGGTAAGTGGCCTTTTATTTCATAAATATTATATTATCTGCAAGTACAGTTTTTTTAAGTACACTACAGATGCACATTCAATAGTGTAACAAACAGCTACCCAACCTTTGCAATTAATGCAAACCTTAACCCATAATGCCAATCACTGTTAGCATGTCATTATATCACACATATTTCATTACAATTTATGTATTATCTTCTATTACTTAATAGTGGTGTACACATTTAAGAGACCATTTTAATGCATGTGCATTTCATAAATAAATCTCCTCTGTGACTGAATAAGTCCATAAGGCCCCTTTTTGCATACAATCACATCACAACTAACGCATTCCTCCACAAACTATTTGTTGTGGTACTACAAGTGTTTAGGAAAGTGCTGTATAGTGTTTTTGATGGCAAGTTGCCCTCAAGGAGAAAATTACATCTAATGTATTTATAGTGCATTATTTACCAAAAAAAGGGTCAAAATGATCTGAAGAAACCAGATCAGTTCAATAGGGTTGAGTATGCCTGTAGTAAATCACGAAGGTAATTGACATGTCAGGTCAAGTACTGTAGTGACAGCAGTGGCATACAGTATAATAGTTCATCGAAAACCATAAACAGGACTGCAATATTGTATTGTTGCGACCTTCCGTGTTATGTCAACACACCTGAAGCACAATGTGAGCATCTATCGCATGAAATGAAAGAGAAAGTAATGAGAATTGGCATTTCGGCGCTCGTGTGCACTACACGTTTAGAAAGTTGACGAGCTGTTTTCAGGACAGATAGAGACACACCCTTTTTCCTGGACAACAGTTTACGACGGTCGCCATCAAAAACACTGTATAGCTGTATTTTACACCGCTCTTTTATAGTCAGACGACTTTATTTAGTTGAGGTTAGATGTAAAGTAGTGTATTTACAGCAGGATAGTTGACAAAATGAGCATGCATCATATTTACAGTGTAACGTTACGTGAACACCGGCCAACTAACTATTGTTGCGAGACTCATCCGCTCCCTCCGGCCATGAACTCCCAAATATCTCACTATAAACATATTTTAAATGTGTGCAGAGGTTTTATTTGACTTATTTGAACCGGGTGATTATTCGCAGTCTGTTTAGTACACTGTCAAGCAAAGTTACAGTAGTAGCAGTTCTAAAACCGACACTCATACGCGTCTATCTCTTCCACCAAAGCCGCTTAAATATAAAGCGGTGGGTTCAGATACTTTCACAGTAGCGTCTCAAGTCTTACCGCTCAATGGATGTGGGTCGGTCAGACCGGTTTAGGTGACAGTGACTGGCTCTGTGACACTGGTCGCGGTGCCCTCCTCGCGGTCTGTCCCGCACTCCAGCTGAGAGCTGCTCGCATCATCCCATCTGTAATCACACAGAACGCGCATGCGCACTACACACACACGCACACACGCGCGCACGCACACACACACACACACACACACACAGTCTGGTCAGCTATCCTTGTGGGGACTCTCCATAGGCGTAATGGTTTTTATACTGTACAGACCGTATATTCTATTGCCCTACACCAACCCTACACCTAAACCTACCCCTCACAGGAAACTTTCTGCATTTTTAGATTTTCAAAAAACTTAATTCTATATGATTTATAAGCTTTTTTTGTACCGTGACACGAGTCCCCATGAGTCTGTGTGTAGTCAGGTTTAAGTCCCCACCAGGATATATAAACCAGTACACACACAGCATAAGCAGGTACATAAGACTGCTGCTGTACTACGTTCTTTACTGTGGTTTTACCAACATTCAAACGCTTCGTTTCTTTGTTGTGGATTTATAATTTTAATCTTATAATGGTCGAAAAACGACCACATTTGTGTGATTACCGCGCAGAAAAAAATAGAGAATCGATGCGTAGTTGTCAATATCAACTATTTAAACGATTTTGAGCCTATTATTACTAATCCTAATTTAATGTTAGATTGCTTACCAAGCCATATTTTAGCATAGTTTTGCACTGACTGTTCTATCAGAACAGCCAGCAGGTGGATTTCTCGATTTCAATGTTGCAAACTAATGAAGTTTCCACCAGAGGGGGCTTGGGTTCAAAATCCCGAGACTCCATTGAGCGTTGTTCAAACCTCAGGCATTCGTTCATTCATTCATTCATTTCATTTCATTTGAACACTACAAATGTAATCACTTAAATATTTTAATGACAAAATAAGCTAAGAAGTTAATAGCAATCCAACTGTTAAAAACTCATTTAAACTGCCTTGTCCAGTATGTTACATGATTGTGATTGAGTCTGGATAATCACTTATATCTAAATAATGACATTGATAAACGTCAAAACCTACAGACTTTAAAATATATAGTGAAAAATGTTTAAAAAATCATCAACCAGATACTCGATTAGGCTAATAATAACTGCCATTCTACCACAATCTGACCTGTTTGTTTGTTTTCTTTGTCCATAGAATACCCTCGTTCATTCTGTTCTCGCATGTTATTCTATTGGATTAACTATTATTAACTATTTTAAACTATTCTCATTTATGGTCATGAATGCTTGCAAAGTGTGTGTTGTGGAACGTGCATACAACATTTCTATTACGATTGTGATGTTTACAGGCAACTACACAGACCAGTGTATTTTGTTATGTCAGTTTCTCAACTTCCTACGAGGGTAGGCTATTTACATTTACATTAGACAGACATTTTTATCTGAGGAAACGTACACTGCGTTGATCAGTACATATTCAGTTCACTGAGAATTGAACCCATGATCTTATAGCGTAGCGAGGCACTAGTGTTTGAGCATCAGGAAAGCACACAGAAGCGCTTTCCCACATTTCTTCCTTTAAAATGTTCAAAAAAATGTTTCAAAAAATAATTACAATACTTTTCATAATATTCACAAGTAATGAACAAAACAAATGTTAATAAAACAGTTCATTTTAAAAATCATATGTTCATGTGTTTATTTTATAATGTGCGCAAAAGCACTGAGTATAGGCCTATAATAAAAGGGGTTTAAAACTCCACATGATTACACATAATACAAGGGTTTTAAAACTCCACTTTCCTTTAGGCAACCAGAGAGGAAGAGGAAATGCTCACACTCTTCCTCTTAAGTTTTCTGAGTTCACCCAAATACACAGAGACACACCTACTAAGTTTACACTTAGCTATAATACGGACAACCAGCGGTTCTTTACTTCTTTACTCACTCCGTCTGATTATTAACTTTTGCTGAAACCTTGCGTGCCAAGCTTTTTTCCAGGGTTATTCATTTTAAAAACAAAAATGCTCACTGGTGTCAAAATCACAAACACGCGCTCCCTCTGACAGGGGTGCAGAGCTGGACCTGTTGCCTGTTCGCAAGACCACGTTGTTCTAGGCGTTAATTGTCTTTTCGCCTTCACCATTAAAGCCAGGAGTCAATGCAGTCTTGTAATGATGTAACATACGCTCTTAAAATCAGTTCCGCCACCTGTGCGCTTTTATTCGGTGACAGTGCGATGAGCGCGTGATGTCAGCCGCTGCTCATAGAAACTCGTCCAAAACCGGGAACGGCGTAAAGTCCGATCCGGAGAGAATTCGGACGGTACGCAGAGGGCTGTCGACTGAGTACGCACGCAATGAATGGGATAATATTATGGAGTCTTCATCTAGAGGTAGGGACGCGGGTGAGCAGCACGACCACCAAAGAGAATTAAAAGAAAAAAAGTGTTTCTTAATACATTTGTAATGCATTCTTATGTTAATGAACGTATGAATTTGATCTTAAAAAGGTGCTTCACGATGCCATAGAAGAACCTTTTTTGTCTAAATGGTTCCATAAAGAACCTTTAACATCTGAAGAACCTTTCTGTTTCACAAAAGGTTCTTTGGGGTGAAAGAAGGTTCTTCAGATTATAAAACGGTAAGAAAGAGATGGTTCTTTAAAGAACCTTTGACTGAATGGTTCTTTGTGGAACCAAAAATGGTTCTTCTATGGCATCGCCTTGAAGAACTTTTTGAAGCACCTTTATTTTTAAGAGTGTACGTTCTGAATAATATGACCATACATATTGCACTGCCTGCTACTAGATAAAATCTCTATTAACAGTTTATATATATATGAAAATCATATTATTTTCTTTTGACAACTTTTCAATTAAGCGACCATAGGGGAGAATGCTAAATAATTGTATAGTGCTGGTTTGAGCAGATGTTGCTCTCCAATGACTTCTAAGCACAGAAATCTAAAATTCTAGGGGTTTCTTGTTTTGTATCTTATGAATAGGCTCTTGTATTAATTGGTAATCATTTCATTGAACTTTTCCGTGTCCTTCCCTTTCCATCCTGTTAGTCTTTTGTAAAATCCCTGAAACTTACAATGACATCATCCTCAAGGAAGTGGCATCACCATTTTGGTGGGAAATCAACAGCACGAACATCAATATATTTTAGCAATGGATGTTTTGTGGTATTAAATGGGTTGTCTCTAAAACATTCGAAACATCAGTTATGAAAGTTAAGTTGACACCCTCATAAGCTACCTCTATAGCCCACACTACTCGATGGCTAACAGGTCTTCATTTCCATCCTGTTAGTTTGTTGTAAAGGTAATTACGTTTGAATTAATATGTCTGGACTTGACTACAGCCTGATGTAAAATTCATTAAACTACAACACAATTATCTAGTAAAGTGTTAAGCATAACAGAAATCACCCACATCATTATTAGTGCCAAGATTAAGGAAGTGTGTAAATTTCTTTTCAGATTATAAGACCTCAAGAGGAAGCATCAAAGGTACTACAGGAGCTCCTGATGATAATATACACTGTAAATAAAATTCCGTAAAATTTTGAGCAAAAAAACGGCAGCTGTGGTTGCCGGAATTTTACCGTAAAAAATACGGTAGCAACGTTTTAGGTTTTACATTTTAACTTAAATTTACAGTTAAATACCGTAATTTCATTAACTGATATAATGTTAATATTCCAACCTATTGAAGTACTGAAATATGCTTTGTACGTTTGTAATACACTGATAACCACCAAATGCAGGTGGTGATGAGAAAGTCACATGATGAACCAGAGCCCATCACAAGCAGCTTTTAAATAATAACATATATAGAAGGTGCACAGTGGCATTCACACAAACACTAAACACCATCATGGTAACACACATGAAACTAAAATAATGCAATAAATATTAATTTAACAACATTAGGTGTAACACACAACCCTAATATACAAAACAGATAAGAAAAAACTAAGAAACATATTTATTTCAACAAAAAAACATAAAATTTGAAATGTAACGCAGGGAATTCTGGGAATGTCAATTTACGGTTATTCACTGTAAATTGTCTTTTTCATGTCTTTTTTTTAATGTCCAATACATGTAATGTCCAATACATTTTTTCACCGTATATAGTAGGGGAATTTACCGTTACCATTTAACAGTTTTTACTGTAGCATTTTTACAGTCTTTTACCGTTAAATTCACAGTCATTTTTTACAGTGTACCAACAGGTGAATCCAGCTCAATACTATACTGTGACAATACGAACTTCCTCTTAATTCACTGTGACTGATGTGAATAAATCCTGATGATTGTGTAATTGTCTTAACCACATACTAATCTCAAATAATGATGAAATACTAGGTAGGAAAACTGTCCAGAGTTGGCAGTTCTTGGTCAGACTACTCTGAGACAAGTTTCTGGGACAACTTATTCACTGTCATGCCATTCCAAACCTGTATGACTTAATGGAACACAAACTAAGATATTCTATAGTGTGTTGGGAACCAAACCGTTTTGGTAAACCTAGACCTCCATTGTACAGTTAATGAAAGATTCCTCAAAATATCTTCTTTTATGCTCCACAGGGCGAGTAAATTACAGAATTTCAGTTTTTTTGATTAACTATTCCTTTCATTGAACTCTGACCTGCTTTGGTGACAACTCAAAAAGAGTAACTTTTAGAGATCATACATTGGACTTTACAAAGCCCATTGACTGTCATTTATTAACCCTCTCTGTTAAACACAACAGTGAAACATCACATGATTATGGTCAAATGCAAAATCAAACTGTGTCTTGAACCATGAATATTGCTCTTGTGATGGATATTTTAGTTTATAACCGAATTTAGTCGAATTTACAGCAGTATAAAAGTTTGGTTTATGATGTTACCTTACATTGACTGGCCTTTTCACATCACTGACTCACTTTCTTTACACATTTACTAAAGCTGACTGGAATATTTTCTATATGTGGTGGCTGATCTGTTAGTGTTGGATGCAGTGGTAGATATAATGTTAACTTTATACTGTTTCCTGTGGCAGTGTTGGCTATGCAGCTGGCTATGGTGGAGGGGCCAGATCGACTTCCTGCCGATGAGGACACACAGGAAGTGCT